CAAAAATGATAAAAATTTGATTAGACAATTAGGAAGATGTGGACACTGGCTGGATATTTGATGATCATGTGACCTCCCTTCTCCTTGGCTCTCTGGCTGACTCCTCCAGCCCATCCCATAAATGCCACTTTTTAACCTTGACTTCCTGCCCTGCAGCTTTTGCACGCTGCATAGCTAATCTCACCCTCACTGCCTTTTGGCACACTGACCCTTTCTCCATCTCCGGCCCCTCTCTCAGCCATGCTGATTCCTATAACCTGTGAATTACCAGACAGTGCCCTCCGGCAGACCACAGACACAACAAATACAAATATATACCTAAAACCCAAGCACACTGCATCCTCCTTTCCTGACCTGTTTTATCCACCATCCTCTTCCGCCACCCTCTCTCACCCCCATAGCCCTTGGCTCCCCCTGGCATGGGTGAAATCAGGTTTTGATACCACCATCTACTGAGTAATTCGTAACTCCTTTTCTCTCAGCTCCTGTCTTTAACCAATTATCAAATCATGCTGATTAAATTTCTTCCATAGTTTTCAAATCTATCTCCTGCCTTGCATCCTTACTACCGCTACCCTGACTCATGTCCTCACGGGCCCAGCTGATGTTCTCACGGCATCTGCTCTCTGCAGCCCAGTCTGTGGCCTTAAACGCAGCTCTGTTTTGCAGCCACAATCATATGTTTAAGTCCCAAATATGGTTATGTCTCTTTTTCTCCCAATTTATAAGCCCCCATAGTTTAAGCATAAAGTTCAAGCTTAATAAAGAACTTACATACAAACTCCTTCAGACCTGGGTCTTGTCTCCCATGAGAGCTGCCCATCACTCCCCTGCCTTGAGCTTCACACTCCCCCCCTCCCACACACCCTCCAGTACTCACGCTCTGGAGCACAGAGCTCTGTGTCCCTGGACCCTATTTGTTCCATTCCATCTGCCTAGAATTCTCTCGACTTGCCTAAACCCAACTCATCCTTCAAGTTGAACTTTGGGAAGACCGCCTTAACCACCCAGGGTAGCAAGTGCACTCCATATCCTTGAGGATCCTGGGAATATCTGTCTAACTCATCACCTTTAATTCTCTTCTTATTATATGACCCCAAGTTCATCCAGGACACCGAAATGTATTACTTATGACTTATTCCTCCATTCAACTGACATTTAAGAATCTCTTTTACGGCACGCTATATTCCATGCATGGCACTCCATAGGCAAATGTATTTCCATCTCTGCGCCCTCTCCCAGATTTAGCATGGTACCTGACACTAATAGAAACACTCTAGTGTCAAACCTGCCTGAGCCTGTGAGTAGCAAGGCGAGCAAGACCATGTCTTAGTCTGGAGCAGGATGCTGTCCAGCATGGAGTCATGAAAATGCCACAGGCTTTCCAGGCATCAGTGATATGGCTTCAAGTTCTAATTCTACCTATGCACCTTTCCTTAGGATCTTGCTTTTAAAAAAAAAATCTCTGAAATTAAAGTTACTAAGGCAAGGCCAACTTCCTATATCACTGTATAAGAATTCATAGAAATGTCAAAGCAGACTGGATTGGAAATTACTCATTCCCGAGAAAGCATGAAGCCTCATGATAAGCATCACAGCAGACAAGGCAGAGGCCCAGCACCACGTAGGGACAGAGGTGGGGGCTGCAGTAGTAGGAAAGGCAGTAGGGCCAAGGGATGGGGATGTAGGGGGACCTGGCTTCCAAGACCTATGGGCAAGAGGCGCTGCCACAGGCGAAATGTGACTCTGTCCTCCTGTCTATGGGCCCCAGGTTATCGATTTCTTCCCCTGCTTAGACAGTAACAAAAGCAGCCCCATTCGCCATTGGGGTCCACAGCTGTGGGCAGAAAAGGTTTACACACACACACACACACACACAAACGCACACACACACACACACACACACACGAATATTAAGTAAAACTCTTTCTAAACCTCTATGTTACTGGCTTCATGCAATGCCTTTCCTGTCTTCCCTCCCAGTATCATCCTAGCTAACCACCTGGATCAGCAGACGGGGAATCCACAGCCATTGGAGCCTGGGATGTGGAATGGGGTTTGCTGCAGCTGCAGCCACAGAAAATAGCGCTGTGCAGGCTGGGCCCCTGGAAACGGTTCTCCCTCTGGGTGTGGTCCTGAATCCAGAGCCTTCTGAGAAATGAGTAGAACACTCATCTCCCTGAGATGCCTCGATTCCAGGTAGATGCCCGGCTCACTTTAGTGTTAGCCCTGGAGGCGGGAGGAGGGACAGGGCTGTGTGGGTGCCCCTTGAGGAACAGAGGTGCTAGGCAGATCCTCACTGTCTCTTTGTCCTGACAGATAAAGGAATCCTTAAGCCACTCAGTTTTTCCAAGACACTCTTTCTCCTAGAACCTCTCACTGAACATTTCAAAAGAACTGCATCAAAGAGCGTGGTCAAAGACCCTGAGGAGAGTGCTGGTATTTCTAGATGGTGGAAATCTTAACCTAGAAGTGTTAGAGAGAGCAATGGGGCCTTGTCAACATCTCCAGGGGTGTAGGTGTTTGGATGAAGAAGGTATGAAAAACCTACAAAACAGAGATTCTGTGCTAGGACTCAGGGAAAATATTCTACCTTTAGGGATGTAGCTCATTAGGTAGAGTGTTGGACCAGCGGGAATGAGGTCTTGGGTTCAATCCCAACAGCAGGAAGAAGAAAATTAGAAAAATATTCACAGCTACAAAGCAGCAGCAAATCTTTCACTTGTGCAGTACGGTCAAGACTTAAGACGTGACTTCACAGCCAGGCGGTGGTGGCACATGCCTTTAATTCCAGCACTCAGGAGGCAGAGGCGGGCAGATCTCTAGTCTACAAGAGCTAGTTCCAGGAGAATCTCTAAAGCTACAGAGGAACCCTGTCTCAAAAACAAACAACAAACAAAAAAACAAACAAAAACATTTCTCTTCTGAACTTCACAGGTGGCTTTAGCCTCATTGGACTCTGGCTTGTCCCGAGAAAGTGGAGGTTAAACTGCATAATAAACAGGAAGTCCCTACAAAAGCTTCTCAGTACATCTTCTTCACAGGAGGCTGATTTTTCTTATCCATTTTAACTCAATCTTGCAAAAAATCTTCAGGAATAAGTGAGCACTTGCAATTATCCCCATTTTCCTGGTCACCAAAGTGAAGCTGCTCAGTGAAGGGTCCCAGGAAATTCAGCCAATGGCTCTAGGAAGTCTACAATCCAGAATGGCCATCCTTCCAGCACATTCTCTGCATGTCCACCTATTGACCCATCATTGAGAGCCACAATCTGGGGAAGAAGGGTTTTCATAAAGCATGTTCTGCTTAGGCAATCACCCATACTCTTGAGCACCTGCCGTGAGTACCTGCCATGCCTAAGACTGCTATCGTGGCTAGAACCCATCTCCAGGTCAGAGTGCACTGACCCATGCGAAAAAGACTTTGCCACCATTAATGAGGGTTAATAAAACAGAACCTGTTTTCCTGTTCCATTTGTGATGAGTGATATTGACAACTTGACAAGACCTACAATCATCTAGGAGAAAAACCACTGGGCATGTCTGGATTGGGTAAACTGAGGCAGAAAGACTGACTCTGACTGTAAGTGGCATCTTTCCGTGGGCTGGTGTCCCAGACAGAATAAAAAGGAAGCAATGGGCTGACTGCTCGCATTCATCTCCCTCTGCTAGTGTTGCTAGCTGCGGCAGACACAGTAGGACCGGCTGCTTCATATCCCTGCTGCCGTGTCCTCCTTCCCATGATGGACAGCACCCTCACCGTGGGCTTAAACAAATCAAGTTGCCTTTGTCAGGCATCTTGTCCCAGCAAGAGGAAAACAGCTAATTCGAACACTACATTAAAAAGAATTTAATAGGAATAAAATCAAGCTGAGAGTGAGCAGAGAGACAGCAGTTAATAAAGACTAGACAACTACACGGGTGGCCGTCGTTTCCCAAAGGATAATGACAGCCCCCATCAGCACGATGATAATGTTGCCTGTTGAGGTTGAACTTTTCTGAATCGCTAATATGACCTCGCAAACATTCCCCTGGCTTCCAGAAATTCCTGTATCCTCTAAGAAAACCCTAAAGATTTCCAAGTCTGTAAGAACAAGTGGCCCCAAAGTAAGCCACATTGTAGGCTAGGCTAAGCATTCCTGCACTGCTGCAGATGGAGGCCTCCCCAAGTCAGAGCACCCTGGGACCTGAACCACTGGTGGCCCGGTCTTCAGTACATAGACAGTGCGTGGATGACAAGCAGTTCTAACACAGAAAGAAAAACTAACAACCTCATTCCCCCAGCACAACCCCCCCCCCCGAAAAAAAAAATCACCGGCCACTGTGCCAGGGACCTATCGTCTCTTGTAGCTGGGATATGTACCCTTCACTTGTCACTTTAGCATTGGTAGCCTCAGGTGCATTTTAATCTCCCTCCAACTCATTGTCATTGTGAATCCCTTTGCATTGGAATGTGTCCCTAGTGTTAGTCACCAGCAGAGCCTAGCGGACCTGCTTGGCTGACTAGAAACAAGACAGATGCTATGTGCAGTCAAGCTGCTGTGCTGGCGACCCCAGTTCCAAGCAGCGGCTGAGCAAGACATGAATGGAACTAAAAATAAGGAGCCTGTGGTACCGTGCTGACATCAACTGACAATATTTTCAGGGACCCCTAAAAATCTGAGGCCAGAAACAGGATGCCTGCCTGCCAGAAAGCAGACTTCACGGGTCCTGAGGAGTTGAGACAGAGACAGATAGAAAGCCAAAGAAGAAAGAAAAGAAAAAGAAAGAGCATTTACAGCTCATCCTTTACTAACTAGAAAGAAGAAGCTATCCCTGTATCCTTGTTCTGGACCAGTGTGGCAGGCTTGCCCTGCCCGAGGATGCTCCGATACAGGATAAGTGGAGACCCCGACAGAAGTGCCTTTCTCCTCTCTGTTGTCTGTCCTGCGTCTCCCGGGAAGACTCAGCTGGTGTCCAGGGACCCATCACGCCCTTGGAGAAACAGCCGCTCTCTCTTACCTGTCTGGTGGTGGGCAGCGCAGCTGGGAAGATGTGGCTGGTGTCGGCTCCAACTGGGCATGGCTCAGTGAAGCGCTGAATGACAGAGTCAGCCCTCTCCTGGTACATGGGTGAGGGTGGTGGAGCGTGGCCGCCTCACCTCGGGCCCCTAGAAGAGCTCCTGCAACATGCTGCTCGGGAGCGCTCTGCTCGGCGCCAGGCTTTGCATCTCATGAAAAGGGAAAGAGCAAGCAAGCAGGCAAGCAAGCCAGCGAGCGGGCGCAGGGGAGGGGGCGGGGAAGCAGAAGGAGGGGAGAGGGGCACTCTGACAGATGATGCGCAGCCACGCAGTTGGGGGAGGACCGCAGGCTCCAGCAGGATGGCAATGCCTGTGTGGCTCTCGGCTGATGGTTTGAACACAGGCAACTACCTCCGAAAAGCTGGTGGCTCTGCGAAGTTCAGTCAGGAGCAGAAGGCATAAGGGTATGACTGAGGGCACCAACGAGGGAGAGAGAGGGTGGTCTGCTTTTGCTGAGGGTCACACCAAGACACGAGCATGCTTGGTGACCGTGGGGAAGGGGGGGAAACACAGTCCCACATTCCTGACTTAGCGTCAAGCTTGTCCACCTCCCCTCCCATAATTAGAAAAGCGATTTAGACATAGGATTTAGAATGGGCAGGCAATTCGTGTTAAGCACTACTCCAACTTTCCTAAAGATGAGGAAAATATCAGATACGGGTAGGGATTAGGCAGGAAATGTTCAGGGTCCTTTGTCACCCTATGCAGAGACCAGCCGGACTGCTCCCCCTACCACGTGCACAATGGGGTGGGTACCAGGGGCTTGTGCTGTCAAGAACAGGATCAAGAGCCGGGGTTAGAGGAGTAGCGAGGATGTGCCACGTGATGCTTGTCTGTAAAGTTCCATTCTGATGGCCAGGAGCACAACCTTCTGCTTCAGTTGGGCCAGTGCCCAGAGCTGCTTTTGAGCAGCAGGGAGGGCCCTTCGCAGGATTCTAGAGTGTTCATGCAACGGGTTGACTGCACAAGCTCCAGGCTGACAGTCGCTGGCTCTGTTTACAACCACAGCCAAAGAGAGAGGGTGACAGGAAAATAAACAATGGAAGGAGAAGAGACCAGAGGAAGCTGCAGCTGGGAAATACCCCAATACACACAGCTAACGAAGGGAAAAGAGATCTCAAACAAGGGCTTTCTCTGGAGGGAGAGGGCAGGACATAGAGGGCGAAAAGTGACTGATTTGGATGTGTAAGGAACCATCCTTCCTTCCGCAGGCTACCATTCCTCAGTCAAACCTCTTTCCCAAGGATGGGACCATCACTGACCCTAGAGATAAACCCCCTCCCCCACAACCCGTCAGGCTCCTGTCTCCGTAGATGCTCCTATGGTCAAGTTGCTGCCGCCTAAAAAAAACATTGCTTCATTTCAACACAGTCGGGTCAATAGAACAACCACTGTGGGGAACCTGCTATGTGCTTCAGGGGCTGCTGAGGGACTGGAGATCCTTGTCATGCCGGACGATAGGAGGAAGGAACAGTGATTCGGGTAGCTAATGTGCAGGTAAATGAGTTAAGTACTCAAATCGCTAAGGAAACGTGAGGGAGTTGAGGCAGAGGCTTCCGACTGGAAAGTCAAGGAGACTCTCTGAGAGGACCTGGTAACTCCTTCCTGCACACTAACGGCTGCAGGTGGATTTTGACCAGCAAAAATGGCTGAGATGGAGAACCCAAGGCTAAGGAATGGCCTGGGTGAGGTGTAGAGCCTGCTGAGAGACCCATGCAGAAGAGCAGCCTCAGCCTGGTAAACCCTGCACTGTGCTTGGTCGGGGCCGGACTGGTTGAGCTCTATCAGGGTAGAAGATGGGAGGAGATGGAAAAGCAGGAGGTCTCTACTGGAAACCAAGAGGTGGCGACAATAAATAGAATCCCTCGACTAAGGTGAGAAGAGAGAGGGGGTGGGGTTCAGGGAAGATCCTGAAGAAGTTACCACATTTATTTTTATTTATTTATTTATTTATTTATTTTGATTTTTCAAGACAGGGTTTCTCCGTAGCTTTTTAGTTCCTGTCCTGGAACTAGCTCTTCTAGACCAGGCTGGCCTCGAACTCACAGAGATCCGCCTGCGTCTGCCTCCCGAGTGTTGGAATTAAAGGCATGCACCACCATTGCCCGGCTAGAAGTTACCACATTTAAAGGAAATAAGAGCCAAGCAAAAATTGAAGAGAGAAAAAAACCTGTTTGATAGAGAGAAAGTGGGGCGAATGAAGCAGTCCAGAAATCAGAAAAGATGGACACTGACAAGAGCCAAACGCTGAAGAGAGAGCAGAGTCGGTGAGGAGAGAGACGCACCACACACGAGTAACCGTGGAGCTGTCGGTGGGCCCCTGAACCTTGGCTTGGAGCAAGAGATCTCGAGCTCAAGATGAAAAACATTCTCCTCAAGTGTTTGCTGTAATACTAATTGAGAGAACACTGCAGGTTTCCAATTCAGTAGAGCTAGGATGGAGGCTAAGAATTTGCCTCTCTAGCTCTGAGTCTCCACAGGGGAAATAACGGCCTCATTAAGAGTATGAAATGAGCATGACCATTAAGAGCTGCACCTACAGAAAGTAAACGTGTTTGAGGAGCCAGCTAGGAGGTTCATGGCATCTCACCTGGACACCAGGGTCATTAGATGGTCCCTCTGCTCCCTGCACGTGTCCTCTTGAACCTTCTTCGACTGAGGAGACTAAAGACCAACCTTTTTGGAGGGAATGACTTTTCTCCTCTCTCTATTGGTCCAGCAGGGTTCAGACAGTGCTTTTCCTTTTCTCGAGTTGGGAGGAAATAACTACCATCCCAGAAATTCTCAATACATTTTTATTACTTACATTAAAAATATTGCATATGGGGGCTGGAAAAATGGCTCAGTGGTTAAGAGAATTGCCTGCTCTTACAAAGGTCCTGAGTTCAATTCCCAGCAACCACATGGTGGCTCACAACCATCTGAAATGAGATCTGATGCCCTCTTCTGGCCTTCAGGCAGACACACAGACAGAATATTGTACACATAACAAATAAATAAAATATTAAAAAAAAATATTGCATGTGATGCAGTGGTGGCAGATACCTTTAATCCCAGCTATTGGGAGGCAGAGGAAGGTGAATTTCTGTGAGTTCGAGGTAAGTCTGGTCTACAGGAGCTAGTTCTAGGGGGCAGCTAAGGCTATTATACAGAGAAATCTTGCCAAAAGAGGAAGGAAGGAAGGAAGGAAGGAAGGAAGGAAGGAAGGAAGGAAGGAAGGAAGGAAGGAAGGAAGGAAGGAAAAAGAAAAAATAATCAAACAGATTCCTAGAGATGCTGGAAATTATATTATGCAGGTCTTGCATGAGGACATCAGATTCAAGAGCATTATTACACAACAGATTTTTACCCAGTCACAGAAGCAGAATATCATTTTGTTGTTTTTTGTTTGCTTGCTTGTTAATTTGTTTTAAGATGGAATATCTATTTTGCAGCCTTGGTTGTCCTGGAACTCAATACATAGATCACCCTGGCCTCTGAACTCTGAACTCTACCTGGCCCTGTCTCCCAGTGCTGGGAGTGCCTTGGCAGAATGCCATTTCTGTAGGGGACACTGATTCGGCCAGGTGCCCTATAAGACTGAGAGAAGGAAGAGCTCAGTACTGGTAGGATCTGGGCAGTGAATGGATTGGGAAGGCTCAGCTTAAGGAAATGAAATGAAAAGGGGTCAAACAGCAGAATGTGACCAGCTTCTCAAAGCCACAAAAACGGATTTTGCTTTAAAGAACAGAACTCTTTCATGTTTGTATCCCCAGCACCAAACAAATACTTGGAATATATAAGAACTCTATATATGTTGGAATAAATTGAATCAAGAACAGAGCCTGTGGAGTAAGAAGGGGTTTAGCTTTAAGGGCAGGTAATATTAAGGTGGGGTTTTTGGAGTGAGGGAGAAGGAACTGTTGCCTACAGAGACTAAACAAACAAGAAAGAAAGGGATCAAGCAGGTGGTGGTGGCACAGATCTTTAATCCCAGCAGTTGGGGAGGTAGAGGCAGGCAGATATCTCTGTGAGATCAGGCCAGCCTGGTCTACAAAGCGAGTTCCAGGACAGCCAGAGCAACACAGAGAAATCCTGTCTCAAATAAAAAGAAAGAGAAGAGGGAGGGAGGGAGGGAGGGAGGGAGGGAGGGAGGGAGGGAGGGAGGAAGGAAGGAAGGAAGGAAGGAAGGAAGGAAGGAAGGAAGGAAGGAAGGAAGGAAGGACTCAAAGTTAAAGGCTGGATGAGCATCCCTGCTCAAGAAATCTCACCCTTTCTGGGTAAAGAGGAATAAAAGAAACAGCAGTTGTGATGAACTTACATAGACTCACAAGTATTTTCCTAAGTGATATACACAGTCATCTGCAGATGTAGCCTTTTCTGTTTGCAGTTACAATATTTATTCTGAGCATAAGAAGAGTTGAGCAGTAAAAGGGGACATTACAGAGGCTTGATATATGAGAAGCATACTCTAATACATTGTTTTTTTTTAATTAAATTCCCCCATCCAATCGTAAGCTGAGTACAGATGCCGTGATATCCCAGGCTCTAACTCACTTTATAACCGAGGACGACCTTGAACATCTAACGCCCCTGCCTCCACCCCCCCAAGTGCTGGGATTTTAGGCCCTTGTGCCGCACTGGGTTTATGCAGCACTGGGGGTGGGATCCAGAGCTTCGTGAATGCTAAGCAAACATTCTACCAACTCAGCCCTCATTTTTAATTACTAATGTCCCCTGCTGTGCCAGTCACATGGATATCCACCCCCAAAATAAAACTTTATTTTTAAGAAAAAACTAAATAAGCATGAGAATGACAAAGGACATAGGGAGGAAAACAAGGCAGGATATAAGTGGGCTGGTGAAGGTAGGTAACCAGAGGTGGGGGGGGGAGGTGCTCCAGTGGTATCCCAGGCTAATCTCTGGGATTTGTGAAGCATCACTAAGGGACTTTAGCAGATTTGATGAAGGTGAAAGGCCTAGAGATGGGAATCCAATCCTGGATTGTCTGTGCCAGTGATGTTCTAACACATTCCAGGAACATACGTTCTTTTTTTT